AAAATACAACAAACTTGAAAAAAAAAAGAATTATGTGATTACAAGGTTTATTTCTCAGGGTGGAACTATGTAGTTTCAGTACACAATAGGAGCATAAAATTTTATCGATGAAATACCGAAGTAAACGAACTCATGGCATATTCGATTTATATCCGTTTATTTATCGCCATTGTACGAAGTATTTACATGTACGTTTTATTTTTCCAGTGCGAAACGAACAAACCTTTACAATGATTTATTTTTGAGATTACGACGATTACGTCGTGTTTAAATGCACTCGAAATACATAATATTTGATTTAAACCACAAATCATATTCCACCCGTACCGTATAATATTTGATTTCAATTAAAAAATTAATTTGACAGTATTGTACACAGTATTATCATATAGCTGTGTTTATTCATAAAAATAAAACGTTTAAAACATAGTATCGTGTAACTATATAGTATTAAGTAATAAATCCTACTTTCGAACGATCGATAACATTATTACTGTTTGTCTGTTGATCACATTGGGTTATAACCTTTAATCGTTTAAACCAATTGTTCAATTACTTTTGGAGATTATAATATAAATAATTCAAATTTTTCGCCATGCAACACACTATATGATATATTAATCACAAAATAATTTCGCTTTGACCGTATTATTACATCATTGTTAATGTACATGTGTAATATAACAGAATAACCTTTACAGGGCTATATTATAATTTGAAAAATGTTTTGTAAATAATATTTTGAACAATAGCGTGTATGTTTCTAAAAAAAAAACCACGATACAACAACAACACCATAAGAACTGGTTATAATACATCTCCGACTATACGAAAACGGCTATTGTTTTGAAAAATCTCATGTTATACACTCTTCACACATATATATATATATATATAGTCTTGCGTATATTATGCGTAATTTTCTATGATATACCGAGGACTATACTGTAGTAAAATTCATATTATTCTAATAAAAAGCCATATATGTATTTTTATATTCTTGACGTACATAGCACAAATACATATACAGGCGAAATTTTAAACTACCTAATATTATTTGTATAGTGTTTGGTTGCTTAAGCGTCTAAATTTACACGTGAAATGCATTTTTTGATTTGAAACAAAGGCAAGTACCGTATATAATTTTGTTGGATGTGTCAGATTATTAAATGTCTATGTAACCCCTGTACCTACTCTATATAAAAAGCTATTACCAATTCTGAGTCCCGAGGTAGGAAAATAATCGCTATATTGCATGTTTACGCATGTTGTCGGGGTAGAGTTTTACGACACTCACTGTAATATATTTTTTATTATATAATAAATAAAAAATATTAAAAAAACCATTAATTAAAAAAAATAAAACAGTAAATATTAATAGCTGGTACCCATTGATAACGATGACTGGACGGATTTTCTAGTGTTTTGATTAAATTACCGAATATTTATGCAACCTTGTTATGATACGAATAATAATGAATGCATTTTATTAATAATTATAATATATCAATATATAATAATCTATATATTGATATTATTGTTGCGAGACTTATAGAAATTAATCACACGACTAGTATTTATTCAACACCAAAATATATTATGCTGTAGAAATGATATAATGAATATTAAATTATTTTATCAAACAACGAAATTTTTTTATTTATTTGTCAATACACACTCTTTTATATATATATATTATTCACTGATGTCTTTAACGTAAAGTATTTTCTTGAAAATTATCCTATTTGTGTAAATCTATGTTTAATAGGTATCATACTTATTACACATACTCTATGTTCAAGCTGTACTAGGAAGATCTTACGATTTCTCAATGTAAATAATATTTTTAATATAAAAGCTATACAGTTTTTTGTATTATCATCGCGTGACTATAAATATATTAAATCATTTTAATTTTAATTTTTTTTTTTTGTTTTTGAAGTACATACGATTCTACGTGTAAGCAGTTCTATAATTGAGTCCCATGATTCGTTTTTTTTTTTTTTTGTATTAGTCGAGTCTCGGATTATTTTTCCTTTTCATTTTGACAGACTTTGGATTTTCAGTAAGTATGTTTTTATTTGGTATAGTTATTGGTAATTAATTTTTTTATCTTTGTTTTTAGTGAAAATAGGTTATTGAATCTAAAAATGAGTGCTTAATTTTTTTAGTAAAAGTGCCTTGTGGAATATCGAGCTATATAAATATTTTTGCATATATCAGAGTTAAATTGTGACCTGTCAGGGTTAGTGCTTCGTTCCGTCATTTTACATAAAACGTTTGAGTAATATTTGAAATAGTTTTTCACAGGATTCGTCTTACGTTTTTCTTTTGACATTACTGTCCGTTTTTTGTCTATTTAAATGATTGAGTTCAAGGTTTTCATGATTTTGTTCAATACAGAATAATCGTACTGAATAATAAGATACAACATAATGAACGTTAAATATAACCTTCAGCGTAAGTTAAATTTTGTGTATTATTAAGTTGATAAAATATAGGTTATATCTAATAATTACATTGATCAGATAATACTGTCATAAAAAATGAATAAATACAACATAGGTACAACAAATATATATTTATAATTTTATTTAGTCGGAACTCAATTCAATTTTGAAATCAGGAACTTGGTTTTAATGATGTAGCCTTTGAACTTACGTGGTTATATGGGCCTATCTACTATATCGTATAAAGAAAAACAAATTATTAATAAATTACGAAAACAAGATAAAATAACTATATTCACATGGACGTGTGTAAGGACCGATTTTTAACTCAATGCAAATATTCTAGAGTTTTTACAAAAATTAAATTAATATAATTGATTGACAATTCAATCTGTGTATACATTTTAAATATTAATAACTTTAAATAATGGCCCAGCTGATGATTTACATGTAATAAAAAAATAAAATAAATATTTATATATATATAGATTTAAAATAATGTTATTACGCGATTATTTCAAATCGGTGAAGAATATCTCTAACGAAATAATTTAGCTTAATCTATTCTAACAATCATGTCTGCTTATTTACACATGATAATACAACAAAATAACAATAGTGTATAAGTAGTATATATAAGGCGAGTACAAGAACGGCTTTTCGTTATGATGTAACTTTTGTATAAGATTTTCATGTGTGTGGCCTTCTAGACATTTTCCCTGTGAAAAAAATAGTACCTATAACTTCCTTACTACTCAAATTTACAGACACAGGCATAATATGATATATAGTAAAGTAAACACAATTATGATTTGCAACAAAACAATTACGAGAGTTATCATCGATGCCAGCAGATGCTTGCTGTATACAATCGATTAACGTTTCACAATTGAAGACTAAGTCTAAATCCTAATCACCTGAACAAATAAAAGATTTTTTTTTATTATAAATTATCGAAAATTACGGATTATCTATCCGTCATCATGTCGTTGACTGATTAGTTTCGGTATTTGTCGTTACACTAATATTACACGATTACACTTATATCTACGAAACGGTTACTGTTTATAATATTATAATTTAAAATAATAAGTACACGCATTAAGTTTAATTATTCGTACCGACTCGACCTGCTTTGTTTCGATATAGAGCGCGACCCGGAAATTAAGCTCGTCATCGGATACCTTAGAGTTTATATGGATTTATACAGTAAAGCGTACCTAAGTATAATATTATACGCGTGTGTCTATTTAATATTTTTAATGCTTTCTTCTCATTCACTGCACGTTAATTTCCTATTTGTGTTTGAAAATATCGTTTTTATATTTTTTTACGCTCTGTTAAATTTTAAAAATATTATAATACATATCTTAAAGGATAAAATTAAGGCGATTTATTTTATCGATGATGCCACCCATTAAACGCTGTTTAATACATTAATTATAATTTTCGTTATTAAAGTACTATAATATAATGAAATTATATCGTTTAAAAACAAATACTTCAACATTTCAACTTAAAAATATCTAGTTAAAATAAAAATGTGTTGTAAATTATGAATTTTCAATATATTATTTTAATTTTGATAAGGAAAATTTTTGAAATTTTTTTTATCAAAAAATAAAAATTTATCATGCATAATTATTAATTTTCTATTGAAAACACATTGAAATTCCATTATTACTATCTTTATTTATTCATGGATAGGTAATTGTATTTCCAATTCATCAACTAAAATAACATTATGTGTAGATTATTGATTTTTTTTTTTTTATATACTTATCATAGACTACTTCTATTAATAAAATGAATGGAACTTAACCTAACAAATGTATCCTTTTTACCATGTGATTTCGCATATAAATAATATGTCAAAAAAGGTTAGGATATTTACCAACGAGAAAAAACACATACTGAGTAAAAAATGGTAGTAAATTTTTCAAATTGAATTACTTTATCTTGGAAAAACCCATTATAGTTAATACAAATTTTGCATATTTGTTTAAAAATATATATTTATATTTTACCATTTCAATGTTATATAAAAATGTAAAATTTAATATAATTGTATAACTGTAAATATTTTTAACAAGTAAAACAGATTTTAGATTTAGCTTTGTACAATTATTTACTTCAAAGCTAATTGTCAATACTGAATAGCGGTAAATTCAAACATTATGTACTATATTATAGTATATTATATGTTTTAAGTAAAAATGATGATATTCATCGAGGTATTCATGTTTTCATAAAAATGTATTTATGTGTATAGTATAAATAAAAAGTTTTTAATTCACTGAATTACATAATATTCTATTTGTCAACTGTCGTACAATTTATACTGAATATCAGTTTTAAAGCGATCAAATTCCAATATTTTTTAACACTGCGTTTTGGTATACAGGTCGATGAAATAATATATTATTCATTTATTATCGTAAATATTATTGACACTTATACTATACAATTTGATAAGTGTACACGATGTTCTATTATTGAATCGTTGATAAAACAATGGATTTACATATTGTGTCATTTGTTTTTACTAAGGATGGATTGATGATGGGCGATCAAGAAGACAATCAGGATGCAGTTGAAGTGATGTTGGTTGCATACACACGTGAGGACGGTATTTCTGGTCGTTCTAGTAACTTACAGCAAAACTCCATTAAAACCCAAGTATAAATATCTCAATGGTAAGTTACAGAGTATAAACATTTAATATTATTACCAGTATATTATACGACAGCATATGAGTTAAAAAGATGTAATGGTTTTGTATAATTAATTTTATATCCATTACGAAACCACAAGATTATAATATTCTTTCCAAGTATAGGGTAAGTAATACTAATCTAAATAATTATGTCAAATTTAAACAACTACCACTAACTACGAGTAATGAATTGAATTAATGGTTAAAAATGGAGTATACAGAAATAGAAGATTTCGTTGAGTTTTATGAATTGCATGTACCTACCATACAAGTAACTCTAATGGAATGTATTGAACTTGTAACACATTCGAATATACATGAACATAATATATTATTATCATCAAACTACACGTCTTACAACATGAAGCACAATACGAGAATATTAATGACATATCGAAATCCTTAATAATTAAATCTAAAGAAAACATTTATAAATTTGAAATAAATGCTAAAATTTCACCAGCTCGATGTTTTTATTACTTGAGTATACTGCGTAAACACTTAAATTAATGAGTTGTACTTATAATTATACGGCCATAAGAATAATTGTGTTGACGTTTTCCATTTTAATTCTTTAGGATTGTAACAATGGCACTCGTATGGTTACTTCTGTTTTACACACTACTGTTTGGCTATGATAATTTATTAATAGGATTAAAAAATAATGCTATAAAAAAATATTATTCAAGTTCAAACAACTAAATGCAAAATAAATTATGAACTATTGTGACATAATTTAATAACAAAAAAAATCGTTTATAATTTTACTTAGTTAAAAAATATCATAACGTTGGAATAGTTAATAAACTGAAACAAATAATTTAAATAATTAATAATAACAAAAAAGTACTTCCAAATTCCCCTTTTAAAATGTCACACGTTGCGCATGAATAATAATTTGTACCTATTATGCAGATTTAAATTAAATTAATCGATACCCAATTCAAAACTTCCTTGATTCAACTATATTATTTCAAATAAATTTATTAGTACTATAATATATTTTAATAGTTAATTTTTGATAAATAATGGAGACAGTTTTATTTTGTCCATAATATATGTGTTATTAATTCTAAGTTGCGTATATTTCGTTAATGATAATTCATCTTTAACAACTATTGTGATTATACTCGGGTCACGTTAGGAAACGGATAATTAATTTCTATTAAGGCTTTCTTTTTTCCCCTATTGTTTGAGTTTTCTGAGAGTTATTATGGGTCTAAGAAACCTTGGATGTTCTGTCATAACCAGTATTGCTTGAAAAATGGTTTCCGTAGCTATTATTCTTCGCAATCCAAATCCTCGGATCAAATCTGAACTGTTAAAATTCAGCGTATTCCTTTAATAATACCAAATGCATTCTTAATAATAATCCATGTTTTTATTTATCTTATATTACGCTTTACTTCCATCAACATTTTGAGCACACGATATTTAAATTAACCAAAGCAAACATACAAAATATGATATAGTATATTTTTATTTTTATTTTTATTTTTATATTTATTCTACATATACCTATTGTACAGGTAGTTTTATATCATTATGTCTATCTTGCGCTCAACATCAATCTAAACGTTAAGATAAACACATTATTATACTAAAATCCTAATAAAAAAAATATATTACATTTTTTTTTTTTTAATAAAAAATATTCGAGTGTATCTATTTTTTAGTTTTATACAGAAAAAAAAATAACGCCGTCACAAAAAACGATTACCGATAAAAAAAAATATATAATGAACAATTAAAACAGAGAGACCATCTAAAAGGTTTATATTTTATAAATACCCTTTTTTAAAACTAAATTTATATACGTTTTTTTTACATATTTTCTAACGATTATCAAACATTGTACCGGTATGCAAAATATTGTGTTCAATACAAATTTTTTAATTTATTTCATATTATTTTTTCATGGTGTCAATAATTTTTTTTTAATGTTTAGAAGTCTAAAATTTAAAATTTAAATATATTAATAATATTTTTTTACTTGAAAATAAAATTTTACTCGTCAAATTTGTTTATTTTAACATGTTAAAAAGTTTACGTGTTGTTTAATATAGTATTAAGGTTTTCTTTTTAAGCTCAATGTATAAATAATGATTTTTAACGCATTGTAATATATATGTATACGAGTATCATTAGTGATAAAACACACTATAAACTAATACGCATAATATATTATTCATATCATAAATTATATTTAAATGTATATTTTGCATCAGTTTTTAAGTACGGTTGATATAAAATGCAATTTTTGAAAATTGAATAAACATGCATTGAAGTTTCAGTATCTCTAATGCATATTAAGCTTGAGATTTTGAGAACGAAAAGACATTTTACTCGTTTGGTTAAAAAAAAAATCTTATATTGTATCACTTATTTATTTTAATAATATCATGTTCTTTTTTATAACTTACTTGAATATGAAATATTAATTACTGGAGTAAGAATGATAATAATAATAACAACAGTTGAAAATAAAACAAAACTTTACATTCAAAAAATTATACTGAAAGAATTTCAGAATCAATTATACAATATGACGTTGTGTTTCAAACGTTAATTTAATTTTTATTACTGTAACGTTAAAATAAAAACTGTATACTTGTATAAAATATAAACAACATTTTTTTTGTAGACAATTTACGTAGAAAAAAAACACGATTTTCCCTCAAATGATGTTTTGTGCGTGTTAATAAATTATAACTTGTAAAGAAAAATACTTTTTTTCAAACTTACATAAACTTAAAGATTTTTTTTCTTGTATAATATTATAGTGTATCAAATACCTTATTAAATTAGTAGTCCGGGAAAATAATTTTGAATTGAAAGCAGCAGTATATTTATGTATTAGATACTTCATTCAGCTTTCGAACAAAATTAGTTATTATAATAATTCATAAGTGGATGAAGTTCTGTATTCTATGTCATGTGTGACGGGGTGATTCCACTCTTAACACAAAATCTATTTCCGGCCAAGATCACACCGAAATAGGCAACGACCAATACTACATAATACTATGTACAGATGATCAACCACACCTAGAGCTGAATTCCAACACATTTCGTAGGAAAGTTATTTGCGGCATAAGAGATCAGCAGTCCGCACATAATCTAAAGTATGTTTGCCAGGAAAACAATGTAATTGTACACAAAAGAAAATCAGTGACTCACTTGACAAATAGGCCACTAGTTTTTCATTTATTCGACAAGCAATTAAGTTTTTATAAGTGTGTGTGTGTGTGTGTGTGTTTGTGTGTTTTGACCAATACTCCTTTTTACAAATACCATTAAGTTGACCACTTTAAAACCTTAAAAACTAAAAAAACAAGTCCAAAAGACCATAGAATACCAGAGAATTTTCTGAATCTTTTCCGGACCGACTTGCATCATCAGACTCTCTAATGGCTAAATAGTTTTATCCGAAACTGTGGTAGTTCAACACACATCGGTAGTTACCCGGTGAACCATTTAGTGTTCTCTACTTTTCCATAACTGTGGAAACTCAATGACTCACGACCACGCTTGTAAGCTTTCTCCGAAAAAATAAGATTGTCAGCTATCATCAGCCAAATAGCGAGCCCACTGACGATTACAAGAGATACCATATTCAGAACCGTACTGAATGCCGATACTAAATTGGCAATCGCTTAGCGAAGAGAAAAGTATATTTATTAAAGACCGCAGAACTACAACACTCACAATCTAAAAATAATCCTTTTCGAAACTATCAAACCCTCATTTTAACACTCCTATTCAGATCTATCGTCCAAAATTCATGCAGCTACTTACTTCAGCAAAAACTTATACGTAATGTATAAACACTCTAGTACTCTACCTCGTTTTTCTCGTAAATGAATAGCACTACGCAAAATATTGGCACACAAACTCGGTACTGTCATCGTCATTCGTTAGCCTCGAATTGCTGGCCAGATCTAACCTTTCATCCCTAGTTTGTAAATATAAATTATTATATTATACACTGTTAACATATCCCAACGTATTTTTATAACGTATACCATTGCGGGACTGTGCGTGATGCCAACAATTCGCCACCGCTTCACATGTTTATAATACATAATATATCATTATTTTTTATTTATTATTCAAAATAGAACAATGCGTTTTTTAAAAATTAAAAAAGCATTTTTATAATACACGTAAAACTATTGGCTTAAGTAAAACATCAATCATTCAATACAATATAATTAAATATATAATTCGATATGGTGGGAATAAAAATTACGTTTAGCACTTAACATTTTTTTTATTTGTATTCTTGGTTATTTTTCATGTACACCAATTTCTTTTATAACATATACATTTTTAGAGTCCAACATACACGTATATGCAATCAAACTACAACATAAGTTTTTACATTTGTAAGATAATAGTTTTTATTCGATAACCGGCGGCGCGGCGTATAGACAATATCACTACAACAGCGTGTAAGTGGTCCACAAATGTTTAGTACTATTCGTAATAAAGTTTTCAAAGTAATATCATATGCTTTAACGAAATATTATTATTCGACTATAATAACATTTAAGATTCGTGATGCGCAAATTAATTTTGTTCTAAATGCAAATATTTAATTTTCCGATGATTTAATAATATTGCGGGAAATATGATGAGGCGAAATAACCCTATTTCTGATATACTTGGAGCTTATTAAACGGAACAATCGAAAATCAAATATCCTGTGATCATAAGTTAGATAACATGTAAATTGTACATATATTATACATGAATATTTTAATATCCGTTGTTGGTAGGTACGATGAAAAATCCAGGATAATATCTAAACTGGAAAAAAATCGCTACAATACTGTTACTATTATCGCTATAATACAACCGTTGCTTATAAATTCGTCACATATTGTTTCTTCAGGCTATTGCCTGTCGTTGTAAAAAAAAAAAAAATCGGTACGAGAACAAAGTACGAGAAGATATACATAAATCTCGAACGATATT